TAGATCAAGGGAAGTAATAGTGCCACTGTATTCTGCTCTGGTCAGGCCTCACCTGGAGTACTGTGTCCAGTTCTGGGCACCACAGTTCAAGAAGGACACTGACAAACTGGAACGTGTCCAGAGGAGGGCAACCAAAATGGTCAAAGGCCTGGAAACGATGCCTTATGAGGAACGGCTAAGGGAGCTGGGCATGTTTAGCCTGGAGAAGAGGAGGTTACGGGGTGATATGATAGCCATGTACAAATATATAAAAGGATGTCACATAGAGGAGGGAGAAAGGCTGTTTTCTGCTGCTCCAGAGAAGCGGACACGGAGCAATGGATCCAAACTACAAGAAAGAAGATTCGACCTAAAGATTAGGAAGAACTTCCTGACAGTAAGAGCTGTTTGACAGTGGAATTTGCTGCCAAGGAGTGTGGTGGAGTCTCCTTCTTTGGAGGTCTTTAAGCAGAGGCTTGACAACCATATGTCAGGAGTGCTCTGATGGTGTTTCCTGCTTGGCAGGGGGTTGGACTCGATGGCCCTTGTGGTCTCTTCCAACTCTATGATTCTATGATTCATTTTGCGGGGGGGGGGGGGGACACACAGGGGTACGCATACCCCTAAACATTTTGTGAATGTAGGTTTGGCCTCGTTGGAGGCCAGTATTTCAATATGAGATGGAAAATGAGAGTACCTCTAAACGTGTGTTTTTTTAAAAAAGAAAAGAAAAAAGCACTGGGTGCAGGGATTTTTTTGTCCTTCTCTACAGTTCTATGGGATGCAGGTGGCACTGTGGTCTAAACCACAGAGCCTAGGGCTTGCCGATCGGAAGGTTGGCGGTTCAAATCCCCGCGAAGGGGTGAGCTCCCATTGCTCAGTCCCAGCTCCTGCCAACCTAGCAGTTCGAAAGCACACCAGTGCAAGTAGATAAAGAGGTACCGCTCCGGAGGGAAGGTAAACGGCGTTTCCGTGCGCTGCTCTGGTTCGCCAGAAGCGGCTTAGTCATGCTGGCCACATGACCCGGAAAAACTGTCTGTGGACAAACACCGGCTCCCTCGGCCTGTAGAGCGAGATGAGCGCCACAACCCCAGAGTCGTTCGCGACTGGACTTAACTGTCAGGGGTCCTTTACCTTTACCTTTTTTTTTAACAGTCCTATGAGTCTATGGCCACCCCTTTAGCACCATGAGCACAAATAATCATCAATGCGCAATGAAATGGATTTCTTTGGAGGGATATCTTTGTAGCATTCTGAATGCTGAATTTTATTTTCCCGCGATCATTTGGACGAACGTGTCTTGAACTGGGAACGGAAGATGAACCAAACTACAGTGGTACCTCGGGTTAACTACTTAATTCGTTCCAGAGGTCTGTACTTAACCTGAAACTGTTCTTAACCTGAAGCACCACTTTAGCTAATGGGGCCTCCTGGTGCTGCCGCTTCGCCGGAGCACAATTTCTGTTCTCATCCTGAAGCAAAGTTCTTAACCCGAAGGTACTATTTCTGGGTTAGCGGAGTCTGTAACCTGAAGCGTATGTAACCTGAGGTACCACTGTAGCTTGTTTGTTTGCAAAGGGACAAATGCAGGCCAGAATTAGTTCCTTTTCAGAGACGCCGAGCCAGTACTTCCTTTGAACTTCCCCAGTGCATTCTGGGAAATGTAGGTTTGTGAAATGGAACTGGATCAAAACACGCTGTCCACCCTAGTGCAACAAATCAATGTTGTTGTTTTGTTTTTTTTTAAAAAAATGAACTTTTTGTGGTTTGGAAAATGATGAGCAAATACACTGCAAAGTGCAGAACGATTAACAGGAAGATGTTAGTTATTTATTTATTTATTTATTTATTTATTTATTTATTTATTTATTTAAAGGACCCCACAATAAAATTGTTGGCTTCCAGCCTCCCCGCAAAACAAATCAGAATAAGTGCTCAGGAAAGACAGGGTTTAATCTAACCTCTACGTAAACTTTGTGTGATCAAATCAGGATGAATGCTCAATATATAGATGGAGGAGCTTTGCGGCTGGTGGAGGAGCTTTGCGGCTATGTGTCAGTGTTCCTGAACTGGACGGACGAAGGATCCGACTCTGTCCCAGCTGCTTCCCTGCGCTCCTGTCTTTTCGCCAGCCACGGAAATAAGAGCTAGATAGGCCCTGCGACTTTATACCTTCCATTTCCATTGTTTTGCTAATCAGAAAGTCGATAGGACAAACACAGGTACAAAAACGACAGCGGCAAAAACCCAGTGTATTTTAACCTCCGACATTACTTGGTAAACAGTAGGCTAGGGGAACGAGGTTAGGCTGATGCAAAGGCCTCAAGAGAATTACGGTAGCAGAGTTTCGCATGCCGGGAAACGGAGAAAAAAGGGAAAGCGCAAGCATTAATCACATTTCTGGCAGAAGACCATTGGCGAGAGTTCAGCGCTGGGTCACGGCGAGGGTTCGGGCTGCAATCTCTGAGCACATCCGGAATAAATCACACACAAACACACACTCAACGTGGCTTCTTGCACAGTACAATCGCATCTGACGCAGGGGTTTGGTTCCCAGGGCCTCACAGATGCAAAAATACTGTATTTTTTGCTCTATAAGACGCACTTTTTTCCTCCTAAAAAGTAAGGGGGGGGGAATGTGTGTGCATCTTAGGGAGCGAATGCAGGCTGCGCAGCTATCCCAGAAGCCAGAACAGCAAGAGGGATTGTTGCTTTCTCTGCACAGCGATCCCTCTTGCTGTTCTGGCTTCTGGGATAGCCGTGCGAAACCTCCTCAGGGCAGCGGGAGGAACGTTCCCCCTGCCCTGAAGAGGCTTTGGGTTGCTTTCGCAGAAACCAGAACAGCAAGAGGGATCGCTGCACAGCAAAAGCAGCGGTCGCTCTTGCTGTTCTGGCTTCTGGGATTCAGATTATTTTTTTCCTGTTTTCCTCCTCCAAAAACTAGGTGCGTCTTGTGGTCTGGTGCGTCTTATAGAGCAAAAAATGTGGTGTGTGTATTTGGACTGCCCCCCCCCCCGAGCATCCTTCGCTTTCTGGAGTTGGGATGCAGAATGGGTCTCGCCTGACACTCTCAAGGAAGGAAGAGAGCTGAAAAGCTCTTTTTGCATGGGGTTGGGGGGGGGGAGATGGCTGCTGCATGCCTGAAGCAACCAACTCTAAGGCACGTTTCTGCTCTATAACCAACCCTTAGCATTTGTTTTCACCCTCTCTTCCATTTTATTTCTAAACTCCTTTTAGTGCTTCGTTTTGTTGTTTTAATTTATTGTTTTATCTCATTGTTTTATTGTTCTAACTCCCCTAAACAGTGAGGCTGCATGAAGCTGGGCTGGGCAGAGTACCGTATTTTTCGCTCTATAGGACGCACTTTTCCCCCTCCAAAAATTAAGGGGAAATGTGTGTGCATCCTATAGAGCGAATGCAGGCTGCGCAGCTAAGCCCAAAGCCGGAACAGGGAGACGGAGCGCTGTGCAGCACTCCGTCTCGCTGTTCTACCTTGGGGCTGGCTGCTCTGCGGAGGCTTCAAAGCCTGCGCTCCGGGGGCTTCAGGCAGCTATCTGCAAGCCTTCGTAGCGCAGCAGGAATTCCCGCTGCGCTCGGAAGGCTTGCGGATAGCCGCCTGAAGCCTGGAGAGCGAGAGGGGTCAGTGCACACTGATCCCTCTTGCTCTCCAGGCTTTGCTTCGCTGGAGAGGCGCTGCACAGTTTTCCCTCTCTGCGCAGCGCCCCTTCAGCGAAGCAGGAGGAGAAATGGAAGGGGCTCTGTTTCTCCTGCCGCTTCGCTGAAGTGGCGCTGAGCAGAGAGGGGGAGAATTCCCTCCCCCCCCCGTTCTCCCCCTCCTATCGTCCGGTGTGTCCTATAGAGCGAAAAATATGGTACTTTGCTAGGCAGTGCCAAACGCAAGTTCGAGCCAAAGTTTACAAGATACTAGTTATAAATTAAGGAAGAGAAACATCTTGATTATCAGAACTATTGACGAGCGAGCCCAGAGAGTCTCCAAAACACTCCCTTCTGCTGGATGGCACTGACGCTAGACTCGTAAATTCAAGGCCACCGCATTTAGAGAGAATTGATTTCTGCAAACTGCCGACAGATAATCATCATTATTATGGTACTTACTAGAAAGAACTGTAGGGACGCGGGTGGCGCTGTGGGTTAAACCACAGAGCCTAGGACTTGCCGATCAGAAGGTCGGTGGTTCGAATCCCCGCGACGGGGGTGAGCTCCCGTTGCTCGGTCCCTGCTCCTGCCAACCTAGCAGTTCGAAAGCACGTCAAAGTGCAAGTAGATAAATAGGTACGGCTCCGGCAGGAAGGTAAATGGCGTTTCCGTGCGCTGCTCTGGTTCTCCAGAAGCGGCTTAGTCATGCTGGCCACATGACCCGGAAGCTGTAAGCCGGCTCCCTCGGCCAATAAAGCGAGATGAGCGCCGCAACCCCAGAGTCGGTCACGACTGGACCTAATGGTCAGGGATCCCTTTACCTTTACCTAGAAAGAACTGCATGGAGTTTTCCTGACGCAGAAAGAGCTCTTGAGCTCCCTGCCTTGCTTGCATTTAACATGTGGGATTCCAACCATGCACAGGTTGAAATCGTGTGAGTTAAACGTGTGTAAGATACGGTCCTAGTGTACGCTTGCTGAGGTTTGTGGACTCCAGCTCCCATCAGGTCCAGCCACACTTCTGCAGGGCTACACACACACACACACACACAACACACACACACACACTCACAGCCTGCTCTAGCAACCAACAGTTGGCCGGTTGGTGGCAGAAATGCCTACTAGAGGCTTGAAAACAGCATCACTCAGGCGACAAGGTAAAAAAATGGAATGGGCTTGCTTCAAAAACTACCTGACTAAATATGGTTCCAAAAATAATGCTTGGTTGTGCTTAGGTTAATTTCACAGATATAATGGGAAAAAATTGATTTGAATAAAGGAATGCAGATTGTTGGTAACCAAGGAGAAGTGTCAAAGCCGCAAAGAGATAGAGGGAAGTCAACTAACATAACAAGGATTCAAACAAGTTTACTGGAACAGAAAGCAAGTGATTGTAGGGGAAGAAAAGAAATATAAATGTAATTTCTTTCTGGGAGCCTTTTGTGTAGAATATTGAAATTACGGTTTGTATCCTTTGAACAATTTTGTGTACATCATTAAATCTTTTTTCTTCTTCTCATTATTATTATATTTTTTTTCCCTTTGCTTTTCTTCTTTTCTTTTTCTTTTTGTGTATTCAGGCGTAATTTTTAATTTATTCTTTCTCTGTCATTTTCAAAAATGCTATAATTTTTAATTTAATTTTTTTTAAACGCGTTTTCTACCTTGACCTGAAAGCAGTTCATTCGCAATCCAGCATCCACAAGCTCTTACTGGGTGGGGAGTTATTGTTTTGTTTCGTTTTTGCATTTTTATGTTGTGAACTTCCCCGTGGTCTTCAGATGAAGGGCAGTATACATATTTAACAAATAACAATAATAATATTTTGAAGTCTTACTGGAATCAAAGGGACACAAAGCCCACAACGGGTTTAAAGTACGTACGCTTGAAAATTGAGTTTTTGGTTTGAAAAATCCGCTAGGGCACAAAGCTATCTGGATTGACATATTTTCTTTTCACAGCCTGAAATGGGTTTGGGTTGCTGTTTTTTGTGTGTTTGTGTGTGTGTTTTAATGACCTCCCCATGCCTTTTTGTCTAAACATCTCTAACCACCCCCCCCACTGCCAAATGGAAAGAAAACACAGCTCTGAGTTCGAATCACGCTGCCAAGCGGTAACCTGGCTGTCTGCAAGTGGTTCTTCCCTCTCCAAACCCCTGATCCCTTTACGGCACGAGGGAGAGGAAGGGTATGAAATGATACAGGAAATATAATGTGCAGGAGAAGCTTCAGCTGGGCTCGCCTCCACAAGGAAGAGCGCAGCCGCTGCAATTTCCAGACTAGTCCTAAAGGGCAGCCCCACGCAGAGCGCATTACAGTAGTCCAGACTCGAGGTTGCACGAGAACATAGGAAGCTGCCTGCTAGAGTCAGACCGCTGGTCCAGCTAGATCACTTTTGTCTACACTGGCTGGCAGCAGTCAGACGCCAGAGATTAAACCTGAGACGTCCTGCACAGAATCATAGAATTGGAAGAGATTCCCAAAGGTCATCTGCCTACAGTTCTGTGATTCTAAGGAGCACCCCCAAACTGCACCCCTGCTCCTCCAGGGAGGATGCCGCCCCAATCAGAACAGGCACTTTATATTTTGTGGATCTTTTTTTTAAAGGGTTCTGTGAATCTTCAAGTTGCATGCTGCCAGCCTGAGCCTGCCTGCTGCGGACTTCCTGTCCTGTGTTTACAATCACAGGCCCTAGCCTGCTGCACTCAAAGAAATCTCTAGCGATGTGGGGCTGCGCTTCTGTTTCTCCATAAAGAGAAACTCAAAAACAGCCTTCCTCCAACCGGGCGCCCTCCAGATGTTTTGGACTTGGGGGCCGGTGGGAGTTGTAGTATTGAGCACCCGGAGGGCGCCGGGTTGAGGAAGGCTGCACCGCAGCAGAGTCAGTGAGGTCTGGAAGCATGCGCTGCGCTGCAAAACCCGGCTTCTATATGCATGTGCTGTTCTCTATGTTGTCTGGGCAGAGGTAGGTGTAAGGAAGCTTCATCGACTTGTTCCTGCTCTTGATTTCCTCGGAAATGTGCGCCAGGCGCTCTTGAAAGGCCGTTATGAGCTGCTTCGGTTCCTCCTCAACAAAGTGCTCGTCGTCGTATTGCCCCAGAGGTTTCTGCAAACAGGAACAGAGAGAGAGAGACGCAGGGTCAGTTTAGTTTATTGTTACCAGACGTCCAGGACAGATCGTGAAGCTGAAGCTCCAGTACTTTGGCCACCTCCTGAGAAGAGAAGACTCCCTGGAAAAGACCCTGATGTTGGGAAAGATGGAGGGCACAAGGAGAAGGGGACGACGGAGGACAAGATGGTTGGATAGTGTTCTTGAAGCTACCAGCATGAGTTTGACCAAACTGCAGGAGGCAGTGGAAGACAGGAGTGCCTGGTGTGCTCTGGTCCAGGGGGTCACGAAGAGTCGGACACGACTAAACGACTCAACAACAACACCACCAGACGTCCCCGTTTCCCGGGGACAGTCTCCAGATTTACAAATCTGTCCCTGGACAAAATCCGTCCCCGGATTTCATTTAATGTCCCCGGATTTATATTTTAAGTGTTGTAGATTTTTTAGTAGGGAATGGACGTTGAATGAATGGTATAAAGAGATGTGGGATATAGCCATTCGTGATCAATTAACACGTGCCATTAAGGTAAGACTGGGAATATTCAGGAGAAATGATTTTGAGGAGATGTGGAAGGTAAACAACTATTTTACTTCTAAAAGACAACTGAAGGCGGCCCTGTTTAGGGAAGTTTTTAATGTCTGACGCTGTATTGTTTTTAATATTCGGTTGGAAGCCGCCCAGAGTGGCTGGGGAACCCCAGCCAGATGGGCGGGGTATAAATAATAAATTATTATTATTATTATTATTATTATTATTATTATTATGTTTGCAGAATTTGTACTGTTAAAACGGAAAGGGGTCAAACCATCGCAAGAGGTGTTGAAATTTTGGGAGGCTGGATAGCTACAATGGTCTCAGTGACGGGATGTGCATATTTTTATTCTTATTTATTTATGATTATTACTGTGTCAAAATAAAAGGGGGTGTGAAGAGGGTGGAGCAGAGACAGACAAAGGGAAGCAGTCTCAGGTTTCCTGGGACCTGGGGAGCTGTGGGAAGGCCTCATTGGGGCAAAGAGTTGCTGTGCTCACTAGGCCTGGGCCTCCTGAGCTTTGAATGAAGCGAGCTCACTTCACTGGTGAAATGTGATTTATTGCTGATCTGGTGGCTTAGGCTGAGAGGCAGAGAAGTCACCCAGTGAGCTTTGTGGCTGAGTGGGGATGTGGACCCAGGTCTCTCCCAGGTCCTCCTTTCTTACTACTACTACTACTACTAATTTATTATTTGTACCCCGCCCATCTGGCTGGGTTTCCCCAGCCACTCTGGGCGGCTTCCACAGAGACCAAAAATACACCAAAATGTCACACATTAAAAACTTCCCTGAACAGGGCTGCCTTAAGATGTCTTCTGAATGTCAGGTAGTTGTTTATCTCTTTGACATCTGAAGGGAGGGTGTTTCACAGGGCAGGTGCCACTACCAAGAAGGCCCTCTGTCTGGTTCCCTGTAACCTCACTTCTTGCAATGAGGGAACCGCCAGAAGGCCCTCGTTGCTGGATCTCAGTGTCCAGACTGAACGATGGGGGTGGAGACGCTCCTTCAGATCTACTGGGCCATTTAGGGCTTTAAAGGTCAGCACCAACACTTTGAATTGTGCTCGGAAACGTACTGGGAGCCAATGCAGATCTCTCAGGACCGGTGTTATGTGGTCCCGGCGGCCACTCCCAGTCACCAGTCTGGCTGCCGCATTCTGGACATTCTTACCATGTCAAAATCCTCGTTCCGCAAGACCCAGATGACGGCGAGGACTTGGCTGGTGGTGTTCATCTCGGGGATGATGTCCAGGTACTCCTTCAGCGTCACTGGGGCTTTAACGTCCGGCGGAGGTTTCCTCATGGATGATGGCAAGTTGGGCATGAAGGCACCCATTTCAAACTGCAGCCCAGGGGAGGACAGAAGAAAGTTAAACAGAGTCTGCAAACTCAGCGCATATCTATTGATTTAAAAGCAGAAGAACATAACACTCCTCCTTTCGGTTGTTGTTTCGTTTTACTATCCCCAAAGATCAGAAAGGATCTTTTTTGACAGGCAGCCAGACAAATTGCATTTTTTTTATTTATTTTTTGCATTTTGCAAAAGTCGAACTGCAGTGGAACAGAAGCACTGCTGTGACAAGCACGTTTCGGAGCTGGAAAGATGAGAAGATAGCTACGAGGAAGGACTGGCAGATGATATCATTGGACGATGCAGAGATGGCAAGACTGACTGGGGAAATCAGAAATCAGTAAGATCAAAACTTCAGTAGAGAATGGGGCAAACATAGAATGTACTTAAAAGAACGCTGTAAACACATGAACTCTCTGGTGGGTTTTAAATAACTCTTGCAATGACACAAAAACTTTGGATAGAATGGAGGGTTGTAATTTGGATCAACTTATAATATGCAGTTGATAAAGTTATTTAACTTTGCCAACAAAGGTCCGTATAGTTAAAGCTATGGTTTTCCCAGTAGCGATGTATGGAAGTGAGAGCTGGACCATAAAGAAGGCTGATCGCCAAAAAATGGATGCTTTTGAATTCTGGTGCTGGAGGAGACTCTTGAGAGTCCCATGGACTGCAAGAAGATCAAACCTCTCCATTCTGAAGGAAATCAGCCCTGAGTGCTCACTGGAAGGACAGATCCTGAAGCTGAGGCTCCAAGACTTTGGCCACCTCATGAGAAGAGAAGACTCCCTGGAAAAGACCCTGATTTTGGGAAAGATGGAGGGCACAAGGAGAAGGGGACGACGGAAGAAGAGATGGTTGGACAGTGTTCTCGAAGCTACAGTGGTGCCCTGCAAGACGAATGCCTCGCAAGACGAAAAACTCGCTAGACGAAAGGGTTTTCCGTTTTTTGAGTTGTTCCGCAAGACGAATTTCCCTATGGGCTTGCTTCGCAAGACGAAACGTCTTGCGAGTTCTTGCGAGTTTGTTTCCTTTTTCTTAAAGCCGCTAAGCCACTAAGCCGCTAATAGCCGTGCTTCGCAAGACGAAAAACCGCAAGACGAAGAGACTCGCGGAATGGATTAATTTCGTCTTGCGAGGCACCACTGTACCAGCATGAGTTTGACTAAACTGCGGGAGGCGGTGGAAGACAGGAGTGCCTGGTGTGCCCCTGGCGTGGTCCAGGGGGTCACGAAGAGTCAGACATGACTAAACAACAAAGTTATTTAAAGAACCCGCGGAGGGAAGTCCAAAGATTCGGAAGAATCTCGTGTTAAATTCTAATATTTCTAAGAGTTTCATTTGTGTGAATGAACTTGTGAAACCAAAAAAAGAGACGAGCGTGTTTCAGAATGGGAATCAGCGCCTTCAGACATCCCTGACACAGATACTCCCTGCTCAGGCAAGGAAGGAGAGCAGAATCACTTACCTGCCCGCTGTTTACGGCCGCGTGATGGGCTGAGCACGTGAAGATCGCCATGGTCAGAAACTTGATGAGTTCCGGAACAGAGCGGATGGAGGAAGGGATGCCTGCAGGGAAGCGAGAGGACAAGGCCTTTACAACAGGTAAGTAAAGGTAAAGGTACCCCTGCCCGTACGGGCCAGTCTTGCCAGACTCTAGGGTTGTGCGCTCATCTCACTCTATAGGCCGGGAGCCAGCGCCGTCCGCAGACACTTCCGGGTCACGTGGCCAGCGTGACAAAGCTGCATCTGGCGAGCCAGTGCAGCACACGGAAACGCCGTTTACCTTCCCGCTGGTAAGCGGTCCCTATTTATCTACTTGCACCCGGGGGTGCTTTCGAACTGCTAGGTTGGCAGGCGCTGGGACCCGAACGATGGGAGCTCACCCCGCCGCGGGGATTCGAACCACCGACCATGCGATTGGCAAGTCCTAGGCGCTGAGGTTTTACCCACAGCGCCACCCGCGTCCCATTTTACAACAGGTATCTTCAACCAAACAGAGAATCATAGAGCTGTAGCGTTACAAGGGGACCGTGAAAGCCAGCGAGTCCGGGCCGCAGCCATCTTTTGCTCAAACCCACCAGTCTGGGATTCAACCCAACCACGCATCTTGGGTCCCAGTTCCTTTTTTTCTTTTTTATTAACGTTCTTATGTCACATATGTATACATTATCATATTACATTACAGGGCATATTATAGTATAATTTCCAACATCATACAAAGTTTATATATCAAATTTATGTACCTAAAGAAAGAAAAAAGAAAAAACAAAGACATAAAGCTATTTCAAAATAATATTTGTACCAAAACTACGGACTTCCTATCAATCTCGTTGTATATTCTTTTCTTTTCTTTTCTTTTTTTACAAATGAATGTACTCTTATTATTGTATATTTCTTTACATTTTATCTAAAGCCACTTCCGAGCTGGGGAGGAGGTGGGGTTGCAGGCTTCTCGCCCACCCCACGTGCACGGGGGTTGTTTCTAGCCCCGCGACACCGGGGGAATCCCGGCTGCGTCGTCTACCCAGCCAGCCAATAGAGTGGCTGGGTAGGCATGGCCTACCCTATTTAGGGCCGGCGCGGCCGGGGCTCGCCCTCTTTTTATCTAATACATTCCTATATCAATATGTACCCTTGATCTTGTTTCTCAACTCAATTTCTCTCCAACATCAATCGAATGCTAGTACAGTGGTACCTCGCAAGACGAATGCCTCGCAAGACGGAATACTCGCAAGGCGAAAGGGTTTTTGGTTTTTTGAGTTGCTTCGCAAGACGATTTTCCCTATGGGCTTGCTTCGCAAGACGGAAACGTCTTGCAAGTTTGTTTCCTTTTTCTTAAAACCGTTAATACAGTTGCGACTTGATTTTGAGGAGCAACTCATAGCACGCGGTGTGGTAGCCTTTTTTGAGGTTTTTGAAGACTTTGGTGATTTTTGAAGCTTTTCCAAAACTTTCCCGACACCGTGCTTCGCAAGATGAAAAAATCGCAAGACAAAAAACTCACGGAACGAATTAATTTCGTCTTGCGAGGCACCACTGTATAGATAGCGAACCTTTACTATATTTTTGAACATATATCTTATATCTATCCCATTTTCCCATAAATGTTTGTTCTTGGGACCCATTTCTTAATCTTGTACCATATGTCTGCAAGGGAGTTGTGCTTTACAAAGCATGTTTGATTTTGACAGTGGGGTGGACCCCCTCAGAAGGAGGTTTCCCTCCTTCCTTGGAGGTTTATAAACAGAGGTCAGACGCCCCCAAAGTTGATGGCCGTTGCCATTCAAATGGTGTGTGTGTGGTAGAGTTAGCAAAGCTGACGGGGAAGATCCGGAATCAGCGCAACAAACTGTTTCAAAAGGACCGGAGCAAATTTATGTTCTATATGAAAGAACTTTGTAAACATCTGAAATCGTTTGTAGGTATGAGTTGAAATGTTTTGTAATGAGAATACAAGGAAGTGATTTACATTTAATGAGGGGAAATACAAAAGTAAGAGGGAAGGGGGGGAAAAGTGGTTATAGAAATGCTAAGAATAATTTAATTATTTATGGAAGTCAGAAAGAGGGGCGGGGGGAGGTCGGTGCTCCGTTAGAGCAATGTTTGAGTATATTGAATTATGTACGGAAACTGTGATTATGATAAAATTGAAAACGCAATAAAAATTATGATAAAAAACCACAAATGAGGGGCGTTTGTGTGTGTGTGTGTGTATTTGAGAGGGAAGAGAGCGAGAGAGATCTTGTGATCTATTATATGGGGTGATGCTTGCCTGCCCCCCCAATATTTTATTCAGGTTGGCTGGAGATAGGGACCCTAGAGCAGAAATAGGATCGGGTCTTCCTCCCTTCCCTCGTGACCCACTCCGGCACTGTTTGCGTTACAGAACTTCAGTAGGGAAAAGGACAGAGACAAAACTAGAATCCGCCTGCTGTTGGCTCTGGCGCCATCTAGTGTTGGGCTCCCTGGCTTCCATCCAAGGGGGAAAGCTCAACAACTTTGATTTCCTTTAAAAACAACAAAACATTTGGCTGCCCCCCCCCAAACAAAAATCTCGTCACTCCAAGTCCCTCAGCTTCTCCTTCTGCCCCCATCAACTGGAGGAAAGGGCCTAGGAACCTGATCTACAACTTCAACTGCCGGGGGTCTGGAGACTCTGCTGTTACACACTTAATAAAGAAAAATCTGCCCTCATTCCCTTATGGGGGACACAAGAGCCCTTATAATGTCCTTTGTAGGTTCTCCATCAGTCAGAGAAAATAACAGAGGCCGACCAGAGAATATTGAGAAGCAAAGCAGCTAGTAAGCCTGATCTTTATTGATCTGTTGCAACAGGGTGATCCCCTCACACGCAGGAAAGGAGGAGGATCCAGAACCCAGGTGTGCCCGCCCTTATATAGACATTTTAAATTGCCCACCCTGGAGTCCAAGACCAACCCCAGAAACATCATACCTACATCACAGCAATGGTGGTCTACAGCAGAAATCTGAGTGCGTTGTTTACCTCCTGTCTGGCAGGTCACCTGTTAATGCTTACTTGATTGGATACCCTGGGGAGCCTGGCCAGTCTTTTGTAATGATAAATACTTAGTTCCTGAGCCAGGTCACAGGCTCACGCTATTCATACACAGACATACCCTTAAGACAGGATTTGTGAAGGGAAAGACAATGGAGAGGCTTTCCCATTTTCCTTGACCTTGCAGAGAAATCATTTGGTCAGTTTGGGAGTCAAAATGGTTTCAGGACTGTCTTCCTGTGCTGCTTCAGACATGTGGTTTATATATTTATGTATGTGTTTGCTTGCTACATTTATTGTATATAAGACCTTAATTTTTTTATGACAACACCCTTCAAGTACCCCCAATCTAACTGCAGCTTCCTTTGTGCGTTTTCACACTGTGACTTGCGTTGGGTCTCAGACACGGATGAAGAGCATAATAAAACAGATGTTCATGTTAAATGCACATTCCTGCGGGTTGGACTAGATGACCCTGGGTGTCCCTTCCAACTCAACAATTCTATGATTCCATGAAATGGTGCATCGCAGCTGACTGCACACCAGAGGTATTGTTAGCCGCGTGGCAGTGTTACATTTTGTGCTCCTCCGCCAAGTTAAGGGGCCTGTGGGGAAGCGGATACTTTTTATAGGCTTCCCCAAATGTGACGGGCTGTCTAAACAAGTCCCGAAGGAAGGAAAACAGCGAGCAGAACAGGGAAGCAGCAGGAAATGGGTTTGGCGGAGTACCTGACGACCGCTTGGACAGAAAGCCCTTTGTGAAGATGTCGCAGATCCAGGCCTGAAGCTCGTAATCTCTCTGGACAGACAAGTTGCTTTTGTAGTACAGTTCCACGATGCCAGAGACAAAGCTGTGGGGAAAATGAGAAGTTAGGCCAGCTCCCCAGGCAGGCTGTGTGCGGAATAGTAGCTCTGTGAGGCGTAAACTATAACAACAACAACACTTTATTTATAGCCCACCCATCTGGCTGGGTTTCCCCAGCAACTCGGGGTGGCTCCCAACAGAATATTAAAAACACGGTAAAACATCAAATGTTAAAAACTTCCCTAAATGGGGCTGCCTTCAGATGTCTTCTAAAAGTCAGGTCATTGCTTATTTCCTTGACGTCTGATGGGAGGGCGTTCCACAAATTGGGTGCCACCACCGAGAAGGCCCTCTGCCTGGTTCCCTGTAACCTCACTTTTTGCAGTGAGGGAACCGCCAGAAGGCCCTCGGAGCTGGACCTCAAGGCCGTTTAGGGTTTTAAAAGTCAGCAACAATACTTTGAATTGTGCTCGGAAATGTCCTGGGAGCCAGTGTAGGTCTTTCAGGACCGGTGTTACATGGTCTTGGTGGGAAATACCATCCCCAGGATTCATGTCTGTGTCTGTGCACTACATGGGCTTTGATGCCTTGCTCTTGAGTAGCAGCTCTCCCCACCCCATAAAAGGTAAAGGAACCCCTGACCATTAGGTCCAGTCGTGGCTGACTCTGGGGTTGTGGCACTCATCTCGCTTTACTGGCCGAGGGAGCCGGCGTACAGCTTCTGGGTCCTGTGGCCAGCATGACTAAGCGGCATATGGCACGGAAATGCCATTTACCTTCCCGTCGGAGGGGTACCTATTTATCTACTTGCATTTTGATGTGCTTTTGAACTGCTAGGTTGGCAGGAGCAGGGACCGAGCAGCAGGAGCTCACCCTGTCGTGGGGATTCGAACCGCCGACCTTCTGATCGGCAAGTCCTAGGCTCTGTGGTTTAACCCACAGCGCAAACCGCTCTGGAAACTGGGAGCAGAGTTTGAGATCAGGCATGCTGTGCGAGGAGCATGGGGCTGATGTTTGAAGAAGACTCCAGCCATTCCACTGAAAGCACCCAGCGAATCCTGTTTCTCTTACCTCTCGATGGCATCCCATATCTTCAGCCCGTCGTCCCTGTAGTAGTAATCAGCAAGCGAGCCGACTCCTCGGGCCTCGATGTCGTCAGGGAGGCACAGATCTGTGTAGGTCAGGTTGTCCAGGCACTTTTTAAGAAGCACAGCTAACCCTCTGCGCCCGGTCGCTATGGCCTACGATGAAAAGCGGGTGGGGAGAAGAGAAGACAACTCAGCACACTCCAAAATGAGGCACATCGAATTCTGCCCCAGCTGAAGTTTCCAAACTGTCTTCAGAGGCAGCCCCGTGTATAATCTAACACTTGCCAGTGCTGATCTACAAGTATAGACTTGGAAACAATTGCTATAATTTAGGTACCGTATTTTTTGCACCATAACACTCACTTTTTTCCTCCTAGAAAGTAAGGGGAAATTCTGTGTGTGTTATGGAGGAAATGCCTACGGGTGGCATGCCTACAGATTTTCCTCCTCTAAAAACTACGTGCGTGTTATGGTCGGGTGCGTGTTATAGCGCGAAAAATACGGTATCTTTTGTCATATGTGGTGGAGGTGTCAGGTAACAAAAACTTTCTGGGAGATGATATATAATGAAATGAAAGAAATGTTTAAAATAACATTTGCTTAAAAAAACAAAACAGAAGCTTTCTTATTAGGAATTATAGGTACCAAGATCCCAAAGGACCAGAAAAGACTGTTCACGTATGTGACAACAGCCGCACGGATGTTATTTGCCCAGAGATGGAAGGAAGAAACAATCTCGACCAGGGAAGAATGGCAGACCAAGTTGATGGATTATGCTGAAATGGCAAAATTAACTGGGAATCTCGGGAACCAAGAGGACAAGAACTTTAAAAAAGAAGGGGATTTTATTCAGGGGACCATTGCAAACAGATTAAAACATTAGCAGGATTTTAATCACATTTGTAATGTAACTGCAGGAGGCAGTGGAAGACAGGAGTGCCTGGCGTGCTCTGGTCCAGGGGGTCACGAAGAGTCGGACACGACTAAGCAACGACAACAAATGTAACAAAAACTATGGACAATTTAGATGGATAAAAAATTGTGTATTATGGACTGATTGATATTAGGACCCATGGAGGGGATGGGGGGGGGGGAGTCGTGAGATTCAGAGTAATCTCTTTATACGGATTTTTAATGGATTTTGTTATAAGTTTATATTTTTAAAAAAAACAAATAAAAACTAAAAAAATTTCGCTCTATAGGACGTACTTTTCCCCCTCCAAAAACGAAGGGGGAAATGTGTGTGTGACCTATGGAGCGAATGCAGGCTCCTTGGCTTCAGCGATAGCAACGGGAAGCCTCTGAAGCGCAGAGGGAGCGCTCCCTCCACGCCGACCCCTCTCGGTCTCCAGGCTTCAGGCAGCTATCTGCAAGCCTTCGGAGCGCAGCAGGAGTTCCCCCGTGCTCCGAAGGCTTGCGGATAGCAGCCTGCAGCCTGAAGCCCGGGGAGCGCAGCAGGAGTTGGCGCTGCGCTCCCCGGGCTTCAGGCAGCTATCCGCAAGCTCCGGGAGCGGCGGCAAGGCTGCGCGCAACCTTGCTGCCGCTCCCGGACCTGTTCTGGGGGCTGGGGTCGGGGGAAGCTTGGGCTTACCCCGCCCCAGCCCCGCGGCTAAAAACGAAGCCAAGACAGCGAGCGGGATCCTGCTGGCTGTCTTGGCTTCTTTGCTCTTTGGGGCTGGGGGGGGAATATTTTTTTTCTCTTTATTTCCCCCCCTAAAAACTAGGTGCGCCCTATAGTCCGGTGCGCCCTATGGAGCGAAAAATACGGTACTTCACAAAAAAGAGAGAGGAAATAATTGCTATAATTCAAATTGGGTTGCACCCTGTTAACTTGTACTCAGAGCACATCCATTGAAACGAACAGGCTTAAGTTAGCTACATCTATCGGCTTCTGAGTAAGACTAACCTGGGATGAATCCCCAACGCATTTAAATCTGGCAGGGAGGCCTGTGGCTCAACCCACTCACTCCCTTGGGAGGAAACCTCAAATCTCCCCATTGAATCTCCTTCTTTGGGTTTTGCATCCTTAAACCAAACCAGGCAGTCTTCAAAAGCAGGGCACTTCCAAAACAGAAGACTGCCCTCAGAGCCCTGCAAAACAGAGAGGCACCCCCAGAAAAGACTCCCCAAGTCGGCTGCGAATCACCCTGTGGTCGAATGGGTGGGATGTGGAAGAACAGAGATCACCATGTGTCCTTGGGCCTGAAGAGCTGGCTCAGCGCGGAAGGCATTCCACGGTGGGGTCACCACGCATTCCTCCAAGGGCGCCCCACGAGTCTCCCACTTACCTTGTCAAAGGTACCTCCTTGGCTGATAAGGTAGGTTCTGGCCAGCACATTGATATGGATGGAATAACGGAGGTGAGGAATCAGGAGCTGGAGGGGGCAGAAAGGGAACAGGTGTAAGGATGGAGGGGGGATGTCTCAAAGTACGCAGAGACAAAGGTCTTGTAACTGAAGTCATAGCATGTTCTCCCCGATTCTCCCCTTCGCAGCCCCTCCACCCCACCCCTCTCAAATCCAATCCCTGACAATAGCCCTCTCCCCCTCCATGAATTTGCCTGGTCCTCTTTTAAAGCCTTCTAGATTGTTGGGACACGGGTGGCGCCGTGGGTTAAACCACAGAGCCTAGGACTTGCCAATCAGAAGGTCGGCGGTTTGAATCCCCAACGGGTGAGCTCCCGTTGCTTGGTCCCTGCTCCTGCCAACCTAGCAGTTCGAAAGCACGTCAAAGTGCAAGTAGATAAATAGGTACCGCTCTGGCGGGAAGGTAAACGGCGTTTCCGTGCGCTGTTCTGGTTCGCCAGAAGCGGCTTAATCATGCTGGCCACAGGAACCGGAAGCTGTACGCCGGCTCCCTTGGCCAGTAAAGCGAGATGAGCAACCCCAGAGTCGGCCACGACTGGACCTAATGGTCAGGGGTCCCTTTACCTTTATCTTTTAGATTGTTGGCCTTAACTACCTCCTGCAAGAGCAAGTTCCACAGTTTAACTATTCACTGCATCAAGAAGGACTTCCTTTTACTTGTCCCCAATCTTCTAACTTTCAGCTTCATGAGATACCCACAAGTTATTATTATTTTTTTATAAGAGGGGGCAAAGTTTTCTTTCAAAGCCATCCAGGCTGGTGGCATCGCTGCCTCCTCTGAGAGAGGCAGCCTTTTTCCCCAGACGCGGTTTGTTTCCTTCAAAAGATAAAAGAGGATGCCGAAAACATCCCTCCCTGCAAAGGTAAAGGGACCCCTGGCCATTAGGTCCGGTCGTGGCCAACTCTGGGGTTGCAGCTTTACTGGCCGAGGGAGCCGGCGTACATCTTCCGGGTCATGTGGCCAGCATGACTAAGCCGCTTCTGGCGAACCAGAGCAGCACATGAAAACACCGTTTACCTTCCCACCAGAGCGGTACCTATTTATGTACTTGCACTGGTGTGCTTTCGAACTGCTAGGTTGGCAGGAGCAGGGACCGAGCAACAGGCGCTCACCCCGTTGTGGGGATTCGAACCGTCGACCTTCTGATCGGCAAAGCCCCTAGGCTCTGTGGTTTAACCCACAGCGCCACCTGCGTCCCTATATCCCTCCCTGTACTTGCCGCTAAATGCCCCAAACTGAACCCCCTCTGGGCTCTCTCACCTTGTACAGGGGGTGGCACATGGGCAGCTGCCTCAGTGTCGACACCGCAAAGACTTCCGCCATCAGGTGTCCACGGAGCAGGTGGGTGTTCACCTCGTGGATGTGGAATTCAGAGTTTCGCACCCAGGTCTTGGCTAAGGTCCAGATCCACTCTTCGTCGGTGGGCAAGAAAATGGGACTTTGGGGACCTGGGCGCTGGCTCAACTGGAAGAGGGAATCACAATGGAATAAAAGATGCAACAGAGGGTGTCTTCAGACTGTCTAGAACAGGGGTCGGCAAGCTTTTTCGGCAGGGGGCCAGTCCACTGTCCCTCAGACCTTGTGGATCTATCAATCTATTGGTTTTCACATATCACATTACAATACAGATGTTCCAAAACCAACTCCATTTCCTCCCCATCCCCCCATACATTTACATTTCTATTTCCTCAATCCATCATATTATTCTTTTCTCCTTCCTCCCACTTCCCTCCGCCCCCACTCAATTTCCTCCACACTATACAATTTGCAAAAATCTTTGCATTCTACAGTCTTCTCAAATCATCTGTATATTCATATTATCTTTCCTTACTAATTTTTCTTCCACCCAGTACTTCACATTTTAATCTGGGCATATTAGCGTATCTTTTTTTGAGCAATATTTTGCCATATATTCATCAAAACAATCTCATGGAATATCTTTTTGACTTCCCTTAACTGAGGGGAACCTCCTAGCTGGTTTGGAATCCTTCTGCTGAATTTTCCCCTGTTTTTTGTTTCTTTTTAAAATTGTTACCTGGATGGCTAGAGGAATGACTACTCCAGAAGGCTTTTGGTGCAGCAAACACAGAGGGGCAGCAATGTATTGCTCTTTGCCGTTCACCAGGATGGTAGGGATACCCTCCAGCAACTTGTAATCTGCAAGGTAGATGGTTCCTTTCTGAAAAACAGAGTTGGAGTGGGTTGGAGAAGGGAGGAAAGTTTGAATCCCATCTGATGTCAGCCCAGCCCAGCATTTTGGACTAAAGTTGCCATCATACTTCTTACGTACTGAGTTGAATAGGATCCAAAATGCAGCTGTCTAATTGGTCCTAGAACAACAGGATTCAGAATGCAGCAGTCTGATTGGTCCTAGAACAATAGGATTCAGAATGCAGCAGTCTGATTGGTCCTAGAACAATAGGATTCAGAATGCAGCAGTCTGATTGGTCCTAGAACAACAGGATTCAGAATGCAGCAGTCTGATTGGTCCTAGAACAATAGGATCCAGAATGCAGCAGTCTGATTGGCCCTAGAACAATAGGATTCAGAATGCAGCAGTCTGATTGGTCCTAGAACAATAGGATTCAGAATGCAGCAGTCTGATTGGTCCTAGAACAATAGGATTCAGAATGCAGCAGTCTGATTGGTCCTAGAACAATAGGATTCAGAATGCAGCAGTCTGATTGGTCCTAGAACAACAGGATTCAGAATGCAGCAGTCTGATTGGTCCTAGAACAATAGGATCCAGAATGCAGCAGTCTGATTGGCCCTAGAACAATAGGATTCAGAATGCAGCAGTCTGATTGGTCCTAGAACAATAGGATTCAGAATGCAGCAGTCTGATTGGTCCTAGAACAATAGGATCCAGAATGCAGCAGTCTGATTGGCCCTAGAACAATAGGATTCAGAATGCAGCAGTCTAATTGGCCCTAGAACAATAGGATTCAGAATGCAGCAGTCTGATTAGTCCTAGAACAATAGGATTCAGAATGCAGCAGTCTGATTGGCCCTAGAACAATAGGATTCAGAATGCAGCAGTCTGATTGGTCCTAGAACAATAGGATCCAGAATGCAGCAGTCTGATTGGCCCTAGAACAATAGGATTCAGAATGCAGCAGTCTGATTGGTCCTAGAACAATAGGATTCAGAATGCAGCAGTCTGATTGGCCCTAGAACAATAGGATTCAGAATGCAGCAGTCTGATTGGTCCTAGAACAATAGGATTCAGAATGCAGCAGTCTGATTGGCCCTAGAACAATAGGATTCAGAATGCAGCAGTCTGATTGGCCCTAGAACAACAGGGTCCAGAATGCAGCAGTCTGATTGGCCCTAGAACAATAGGATTCAGAATGCAGCAGTCTGATTGGCCCTAGAACAATAGGATTCAGAATGCAGCAGTCTGATTGGCCCTAGAACAACAGGGTCCAGAATGCAGCAGTCTGATTGGCCCTAGAACAATAGGATTCAGAATGCAGCAGTCTGATTGGCCCTAGAACAATAGGATTCAGAATGCAGCAGTCTGATTGGCCCTAGAACAATAGGATTCAGAATGCAGCAGTCTGATTGGCCCTAGAACAATAGGATTCAGAATGCAGCAGTCTGATTGGTCCTAGAACAATAGGATCCAGAATGCAGCAGTCTGATTGGCCCTAGAACAATAGGATTCAGAATGCAGCAGTCTGATTGGCCCTAGAACAATAGGATTCAGAATGCAGCAGTCTGATTGGCCCTAGAACAATAGGATTCAGAATGCAGCAGTCTGATTGGCCCTAGAACAATAGGATTCAGAATGCAGCAGTCTGATTGGTCCTAGAACAATAGGATTCAGAATGCAGCAGTCTGATTGGTCCTAGAACAACAGGATCCAGAATGCAGCAGTCCACAGGAGCCACCCAATCCAGCTTCTGGTGGAAGTGAATCCACAACCTGATTGACCTACAGGTGAATCCCAGAATTAGCCAATCAAATGGGGCTCATTGTGTGAATAATGTATATAAAGCAGACATTCTGGGGAAACTTCCATTCCTCCTCACCACTATGAGCTGAATAATGAGCATGAAATCCACTCTCAACTCTGAGTATATTTCAATACTCCTCATATGAAGGCATTTTTGGTTCTTTAGAGCTATTTTGGTTAACTGCCTTGGATACTATTACTAGAGAGGTGGGCTATGGATATTTTAGACATATATATGCATAGAGAAGGGACGTGGGTGGCGCTGTGGGTTAAACCACAGAGCCTAGGGCTTGCCGATCAGAAGGTTGGCGGTTCGAATCCCTGCGGCGGGGTGAGCTCCCGTTGCTCAGTCCCTGCTCCTGCCCACTTAGCAGTTCGAAAGCACGTCAAAGTGCAAGTAGATAAATGGGTACCACTCCGGCGGGAAGGTAAACGGTGTTTCCGTGCGCTGCTCTGGTTCGCCAGAAACAGCTTAGTCTTGCAGGCCACATGACCCGGAAGCTTGACATCGGCCAATAAAGTGAGATGAGCGCTGCAACCTCTGAGTCAGTCACGACTGGACCTAATGGTCAGGGGTCCCTTTACCTTTATGCATAGAGAAGGGGACACACACACACACACACACGAATGTGGCTTTGAGATTCAGCCAATGAGAAGGAGAGCAATGAACAACCTCCAACTCTTCCTTGAGGGTAGTGTATTCTCCCAAAGGCCCAGCCACCATCTCCTGGGTCACAGGGAAGTTTTCTGGGATCTTGGTGCATTTCCGGATCAACACAGGGTTGATTCCATTCAGATACTGGTAGCCAAAGAAATCGTCATCTTTCCAGTGCCTGAACACATACTCTGGAGAAGGGAAGAAGGAGAGACACAGATCATTGAAAGCCTGGTGGAAAAGAAGCGCTTTTGCCAATAATAATAATAATAATAAAATACCCTGCTCATACTGGACGGTTTCCAACAGAATACAAAAACACAGAAAAACACCTGACATTAGAAACTTCCCTAAACAGGGCTGCCTTCAGATGTCTATGGAAGGTCGTATAATTGTTTATCTCCTTGACATCTGATGGGAGGATGTTCCACAGGGCGGGAGCCACCACCGTGAAGGCCCTCTGCCTGGTTCCCTGTAACCTCACTTCTCGCAGGGAGGGAACCGCCAGAAGGCCCTCGGAGCTGGACCTTAGGGGGCTGAACGATGGGGGTGGAGACGCTCCTTCAGGTATACTGGGCCAAGGCCATTTATAGCTTTAAAGGTCAGCACCAACACTTTGAATTGTGCTTGGAAACGTACTGGGAGCCAATATAGATCTCTTAGGACCTGTGTTGTATGTGGTGCCAGCAGCCACATCCAGTCACCAGTCCAGCTGCCACATTCTGGATTAATTGTCGTTTCCGAGTCACTCTACTAAAGCTCATCAATGATAGTGCCAGGCGAGCCGTCCTGGGGAGAGCGTTCCACAAATGGGAAGCCACCACCGAAAAGGCCCGTTCTCTATGGCCACGCTCTGGACCTCTCACGGAAAGGGTTTGCTTTGAAGAGAGGCAGCTTCCTCAGCCCTCACTGACCTGTTCCAGGGGTGTGGTAGAACCAGAAGACCTTGCGGATGTCCTCAAGCTTCTCCCAGGAGTAAGGTTTGTCCAGGAAGCCCTTCATTTTGGCCTCAAACAGCCTGAGGAGGAGATGCAGAAAGAGAACTTGTCAAGGAAGAGGCATGCCATTACAGAGGAGGAACATCTGCCCTTGAGCAAAACTTCCTTGTGCGCAGAGTCAGACCATAGTGTTGCCAACTCTGGCTGGCAGCTGCTGTCCAAGGTCTTGTGCAAAGGGAGGCGGCTGAACAGAACAAAGAAAGGCTTTCTTCACATCTTGCATTGTTAAACTAAGGAACACATTGCCACAAGAAACAGCGATGCCCACCAACTTTATACCTTCCAAGCGCCCCGGGGGAAAACAGGACATCCCGTTTTTTCTCACGAGATCTCGGCAGCCATTTTGGGTGCTGTGATCTAGCATGGGGGATCAGGATTCCAGTGAGGGGCAAATGACTACAGCATCCTTACCCACCCACCCCTGCCACGATCCCAAGACAAATATGGATCCCTGTACCTACTATTATGTCAGAGAGGGGACAACCATAACAATGGCCAGCTCCAAAGATTTGAGGAAATTTTAATCCCAAGTCTTACATTTGTTTCCTTTGAGACCCACATAAAATATTTGAAAAAGAATACCTTTGTTGGCTTATAGGTATTGAGGATTTATTCTGCTACCGTTGAACTTTTGGTTGTTCAATTGTGTTTTATTTTATGCATTTTATTGCTTTTAATGGATTGTACTTTGTCGTTATTATTCTGAACTGCTCTGAAAATTAAATTATTGAAAAGCAGCATAAAAGCATGTTTGATAAATAAATAGAGTTGATAAGACTGGGTCTAGACTTTGTTTCCCATCAATGAAAAGCGCTCCTACTGTCTGCATGAATAGGTTATATTATGTAATATTTGTACGCAGCTTTTTCAACAACCAAGCTGAGGTCCAAGTATCTCACCGTGGCATAAGAGCCTTAAAGAAATCAAAACAACCAGCCTAAGACTAAATCCATATTTTTGACTAGCAGGGGAGATCAAACCTTCCTTTGCAGAAGTCATCTCCAGCTTAAGAAATGCTCGCAGGCTCATACAACAAGAAATAATATTTGCAATATACTGGACCCCATTACGTTTCTTTTAAAAAGGGCTATCTATAGTATCTAACTGTTGGAGATGCAATAGGGGCAATACTTCTCTAAAACATATGTTTTTTCATTGTCCTATATTGAAAGATTTTTGGCAGAAGTTCTAGTTACAGGTAGGTAGCCGTGTTGGTCTGCCATAGTCAAAACAAAATAAAAAAATTCCTTCCAGTAGCACCTTAGAGACCAGCTAAGTTTGTTATTGGTATGAACTTTCGTGTGCATGCAGACTTCTTGAGATACTTTCAGTAGAAGGTAACTGAAATTATCAACAGAACTGTACGGAACAACCGTACATTTGCAGAGCAAAATGTCCTCTTGAACTACCGTATTTTTCGCTCTATAAGACGCACTTTTCCCCTACTAAAAAGTAAGGGGGAATGTGTGTGCGTCTTATGCAGTGAATGCAGGCTGGAGGCTCTGTCAGCGCTCCCTTTAAAGAGCCGCATGGCGCGTGTGTGCCGCTCTTGGGGGCTTTTCCCGAGGAGGAAAAGCTCCATGCGCTCTTTAAAGGGAGCGTGGCTCTTAGGGGAGCCTAAGCCGTGCGCAGCCTCTCCCAGGCAGGGGATGAAGGCTTGCCCGCGGCTAAAGAGGAAGCCAGGGCAGCGAGCGGGATCACAGAGTTCCCGCTGGCTGTCCTGGCTTCTTGTTTAGCTGCGCACAGCCTCTCCCGGCGGAGAGGCTGCAGGCAACCAGAGCAGCCAGGGCAGCGAGCGGGATCCATCCCTGCCCCTGGCGTTTGCGGGAGGTGAGGGAAGGGACAGGGCGCGTGGCTCTGTCCCTTCCCCCACCCCCCAGAAAAGCCCCCAAGAGCCGCGCTCCCTTTAAAGAGCGCACGGCTCTTGCGGGAGGAAAGCCAGTTGGCTTGCTTTCGCTGAAGCCAGGCGGGCAAGGGGGATCGGTGCGCACTCATCCCGCTTGCTCTCCTGGCTTCAGGGGTAGCCCCGCAAAGCCTCCTGAGCGAAGATGGAGGAGCGCTCCCTCTTCGCTCAGGATGCTTTGCGTTCCTTTCTTATTTCTTGTTTTCCTCCCTAAAAACTAGCTGCGTCCAGTGCGTCTAATAGAGCAAAAAATACAGTATATACCCAGCAGGTGGAACCTTACAAAAAGACAATACAGTGGACTCTCTGTGCTTTCACCACAGCAAAAAGACTGATACTGATGAACTGGAAAAAATAAAAATGCGCCTCCCTTCTACGATTGGATTGAAGACATATACAAACTCGCAACATATGAACAACTTGCATTTAACGCAGACTTGGTATGGACAAACACAACAATATTTGGAATCCACTCTTACCACTAGTGTAGTAGGTTAAGGTCTGGTGAAGTACAATAACAACCTTCTAAAATATAGCTTCCCTCCCCCCCCTTTATTTTCCCTTCTACGCAGGTTTCTCTTTTTCTTTTTCTCTCTTTTATTTACGTCTCGCCATGTTCAGGGCACATATAATTATGTACTTTTTGAACTTTCAATAAAGATGTAGAAAGAAAGAAAGAAAGAAAGAAAGAAAGAAAGAAAGAAGAAGGAAGGAAGGAAGGAAGGAAGGAAGGAAGGAAGGAAGGAAGGAAGGAAGGAAGGAAAGAAAGAAAGAAAGAAAGAAAGAAAGAAAGAAAGAAAGAAAGAAAGAAAGAAAGAAAGTAAATAGAAGTGCTGGCAGGTTACGCAAGACTTACGCGAGGGTCCCACGCCCGAAAAAGGCAGTGGTTTTGGGGAAAGAGTACTGGATATTGTACTCCATCGTCATGTCCGTATCGATATCGGCACAATATGGAGTTCCTGGGATGTATTCCTTCCACCTGTGTAGATAAATTGATAGAGAGAGGGAGAATGAATGAACGATGGCCAGGCAGTCCTGTGAACTGTGTTTGCCAATGAGAAATTCCTACAGAACGCCGTGAGGCAGAGATGCATTTTAAATAAAAGCACACATTCTACTCATGTACAGGTCCTGTATACCTGAAGGAGCGTCTCCACCCCCATCGTTCAGCCCGGACACTGAGGTCCAGTTCCGAGGGCCTTCTGGTGGTTCCCTCCCTGCGAGAAGTGAGGTTACAGGGAATCAGGCAGAGGGCCTTCTCGGTAGTGGCGCCTGCCCTGTGGAACGCCCTCCCAGCAGATGTCAAGGCAATAAACAACTATTTTACTTTTAAAACACACCGGAAGGCAGCCCTGTTTAGGGAAGTTTTTAATGTCTAATGCTGTATTGTTTTTAATATTCAGTTGGAGGCCGCCCAGAGTGGCTGGGGAAACCCAGCCAGATGGGCGGGGTATAAATAAGAAATTATTATTATTATATTATTCTCATGTAAAAACATGCTGATTCCCGGACCATCCTCTGGCCGGATTGAGAAGGCAATTGGGCCGCATCCGGCCCCCGGGCCTTAGTTGGCCTACCTATGGTCTTGCCTTTTGAGGTCGCCCATCTGCTTTGCACCTCTGCCGTTCCTGTGGCTCATAGGAGGAAACCCTAGGACGTTCTAATAAATGTAAGTCCAGAGTTATGTGGTTTCAAGTCCCCTGAGGGTCTGATGGTGCAGATTAGGGCAAAAGATGTAGAGGAAAGGATTTGGACGACTGCTTTAAGCTACACCTGTCGCAGTCTCCTGCCCAAGGATGAGGGCAAGTGCCCTTCCTCGTATGTCAAATAGCCAGGCTTTATTCCAGGGCAGGCTCAGCAACGAGTGAAGAGCAGGAAAAAGCCCAGGGATCATAGAATCATAGAATCATAGAGTTGGAAGAGACCACAAGGGCCATGGAGTCCAACCCCCTGCCAAGCAGGAAACACCATCAGAGCACTCCTGACATATGGTTGTCAAGCCTCTGCTTAAAGACCTCCAAAGTAGGAGACTCCACCACACTCCTTGGCAGCAAATTCCACTGTCAAACAGCTCTTACTGTCAGGAAGTTCTTCCTCATGTTTAGGTGGAATCTTCTTTCTTGTAGTTTGGATCCATTGCTCCGTGTCCGCTTCTCTGGAGCAGCAGAAAACAACCTTTCTCCCTCCTCTATGTGACATCCTTTTATATATTTGAACATGGCTATCATATCACCCCTTAACCTCCTCTTCTCCAGGCTAAACATGCCCAGCTCCCTTAGCCGTTCCTCATAAGGCATCGTTTCCAGGCCTTTGACCATTTTGGTTGCCCTCCTCTGGACACGTTCCAGTTTGTCAGTGTCCTTCTTGAACTGTGGTGCCCAGAACTGGACACAGTACTCCAGGTGAGGTCTGACCAGAGCAGAATACAGTGGCACTATTACTTCCCTTGATCTAGATGCTATACTCCTATTGATGCAGCCCAGAATTGCATTGGCTTTTTTAGCTGCCGCGTCACACTGTTGGCTCATGTCAAGTTTGTGGTCAACCAAGACTCCTAGATGCAAGGATCAAAGCATGAGGAGATGAGCTTCAAGGTTCAGGGACAAGGCCAGGGATGCAGATTAGAAGCTGGGAGCTGAGACTGCACAGGAGTGTGAAGTTGTTCTGAGAATCATCCCTCCCTGCCCATCATGCTTTTAAACAGAGACTGTCCGGCTACTCAAACGCATGCATGCCACGTACAGTGGTACCTCAGGTGAAGTACTTAATTTGTTCCGGAGGTCCTGTTCTTAACCCGAAACTGTTCTTAACCTGAAGCACCACTTTGGCTGATGGGGCCTCCTGCTGCCGCTGCGCCACCGGAGCACGATTTCTGTTCTCATCCTGAAGCAAAGTTCTTAACCTGAAGCACTATTTCTGGGTTAACGGAGTCTGTAACCCGAAGCGTATGTAACCTGAAGCGTATGCAACCCGAGGTACCACTGTAACTGGGAAACAGAGGCAAAGCAACTGCTTATATGCATTTCTGAAAGCCTGGGGCCACTCCCACTCCCAACGCAATTGGCTGTCTAAACTTCCAAACTGCGAATCATGACTCAGAGTTCAAGAGCCAATGGCAGAGGCCCAAATCCTGATACGTTCTGTGATTGGATATCTTGTATCGAATCAGAACACAGGAGCTCAGAATCCTTAGTCCAGACTCAAGCTTAGGCAAACACAGACCATTGAATATATAACAGGAGCACAGAACTAATTGCCTGGTGGTGGGCATGGCGGCTGTTTGAAGGAAGGCAGGATTTGGCCCGTTGTCAGGCCCCATCTGCACTCTGCGTTCAGTGCCTGGGATGTCATTTTGTACTGTCATGGCTTCCCTCCAAGGAATCCTGGGAACTGTGGCTGCTTAAGGATCTTGAAAGTTGTTAGGAGACGCCTGTCCATAGCTGTCAACTTACAGATTTGAAAATAAGGGACCAGCAGCCTCAAAAATAAGGGATCAGCAGCCAAAGTAAGGGATCAACAATTACTTTGATAAAATACATATTTTGTTGCGTGCAAATGGCTTTAGATACCTATTAGGTCCATAAATTACCATATAGCATATATTCAACAACAACAAAACAGCAACAATTTGTTGTTGACAAAGGACAGCTGGACATAGAAAAGCCCCATTAACTTCACTAGCTTATTTAAGGGACATCATCAATAAGGGACAGCAGCGGGACATGGAGCTGGAATAAGGGACTGTCCCGCCAAATAAGGGACGCTTGACAGCTATGCCCCTGTCTGTTCCCATCACTGAGCTGCAATTCCTAGAGTTGCCTGGGAAAAGGGATTGACTGTTAAGCCGCTCTGGGAATCGTTGTTCCGTGAGAAGGACAAAGAGGGCTGTGGGAGTGTGTGTGGCAACAAATCTACTCTACAAAGGCAAATTTTTAATTTGTGGCCCCACCCACTTTTGCCTCTGGTCCCGCCCACCACATGCACCTACAAGGTCGCCTTCCCACTTCGATTGACAGAACTGGCACCGCTACAGGTGCCACACAATACCTGTTTTCTGCATTTGTAAGAACTAAGTCCTTTAGGGTGGTAGCACCTACACTATGGAACTCCCCCTCATGAGATCAAACAGGCACCTTTGCTTTACTCTTTCCGGTGCCTGCTAAAAATGTTCTTATTTAGACAAGGCTGTGGGTTAAACCCCAGAGCCTAGGGCTTGCCGAGCAGAAGGTCAGTGGTTCGAATCCCCGCGACGGGGTGAGCTCCCGTTGCTCGGTCCCTGCTCCTGCCAACCTAGCAGTTCGAAAGCACCTCAAAGTGCAAGTAGATAAATAGGTACCGCTCAGTCGGGAAGGTAAACGGCGTTTCCGTGCGCTGCTCTGGTTCGCCAGAAGCGGCTTAGTCATGCTGGCCACATGACCCAGAAGCTGTACGCCGGCTCCCTCAGCCAGTAAAGCGAGATGAGCGCCACAACCCCAGAATCGGTCACGACTGGACCTAATGGTCACGGGTCCCTTTACCTTTACTTTACCAACAGATAACTTTAATCTGTTTTAATATTTTAACTTTTGTATGTGTTACAGTAGGGTTGTTAATCTTTCTTGGTTTTATTACCTTATCTTTTTGTAAGCCATTTTGAGGTTTGTTTATTCTTTACAATCAAGAGGTGTATAATTTTTATGAAAGAAAGGAAAGGAAAAAGTGGCTGCCGTAAGTTTTCCCAGAAGTGAATGTGGCCTTCAGGTTTGACCATGTTCTCCATGCCTGATGTAAGGACACTTCTGGGTAGTTAGATTTCAAACACTATGATAGCAAAATTAACACATGTAATGATATGATGAAGATACCCGGATATTAGGGCCAGTGCCTAAGGCAGAAGATTACCTCCTGCAAAACAAGAACAGCAACAACCGTTGCTGCTCTTCCACCTGTTGAGGAATGAAGGTAGGTAGTAGTAATAATAATAATATTAATAATAATAATAATAATAATAATAATAATAATAATAATAATAATTTTTATTTATACCCTGCCCTCCCCAGCCAAGGCCGGGCTCAGGGCGGCTAATAAGTAATAATAAAAACAAGCTGAATGAATACAACTTAAAAACAAGATTAAAATACAACATTAAAATATTGAAACATTCAAATATTAAAATGTAGCCTCATCACAGGAGGAGAAAGGAAAAAGAAAGAGGAGGAGGGGATCAAATTGGCTCCAAGTCAAAGGCCAGGAGGAACAACTCTGTCTTACAGGCCCTGCGGAAAGAAATCAGATCCTGCAGGGCCCTGGTCTCATGAGGCAGAGCGTTCCACGAAGTCGGGGCCAGTGTTGAAAAGGCCCTGGCTCTGTTTGAAGCTAATCTAACTTCCTTGGGGCCCGGGACCACTAGGGTGTTGCTATTTATGGACCTTGAGGCTCTCTGTGGGGCATACTGGGAGAGGCGGGCCCGTAGGTACGAGGGTCCTAGGTAGGCCGTCCTAGGTAGGTAGGTAAGTCTCTCTGTACATTTGTTCTCTACTCACCCATATTTTGTATGACTCAGCACCAGTTCCTCACGGCGGTGCCTCCGCTGGAGATAATGAGTGTCGTCCGCTGGAGTTTTGGCTGTACATGAAAGGAAGAAAAAGGTCAAGTGGTTTTTACACTTTCCCTGGCTTTCCCCAGTTTTTAGCATTTCTCCACATTTTACACATCCTTATGGATGTGGGAGATAGGCAGTCAAATCTAACAATGCATGTTCTTGCTAGTTAGCATGTGAAAGGGTTAAGACCATAGAGCTGTACTGCCGCCGACTCAGACCATAGAAATGTAATTGGCAGAGAAGGCTCTGTGTGATGTCATTTCCCCTACTCTCCTGGGAGGGAAGAAGCAGAGATGTACAATCGTACCTTGGCTCCCAAACGCCTTGGGAGTCGAACATTTCGGCTCCTGAACGATCAAAAACTGGAAGTGAGTGTTCCAGTTTTCAAACGTTCTTTCAGAAGCCAAACATCCGATGGAGCTTCTGCGGCTTCTGATTGGCTGCAGGAACTTCCTGCAGCCAATCAGAAGCCGCACTTTGGAAGTCAAATGTTTCGGAAGTTAAACAGATTTCCAGAATGGATTCTGTTTGACTTCCGAGGTACGACTGTATTTCTCTTTCTTCAACTAGCCATGATAGTGGACTTCTGCTCAAAGCATCACAAACATGCCTGAGGCTGTTTTCACTGTAAATACAAGTATTTTAACTGTGTTACTTTTTACCGCTGTTGCTGCTAAGGACAAATGCTTGACTGTGAGTCAACGATACATTTTATAAACTTAGTTTCCAGTCTATAGCCTGTTTCTTTGATAAACAGGGAAACAAAAGGGGAATTTTTGGCCCTAACGGCCAATCTCTAGGCTTTCAATTAAGTTGCTTAAAATGAGATTTAGACTCTGCTGAGAGGGCTTTCTCTTGTGAAAGAGTCTGCAAAAAGCCCTGTCCTTTGAAAAAGGCTTGCGGCCGCATTTTTCCTCTGTCTCAACCCACGCACATGGGTCTGAAGAGGGATCAAATGTACTGTATTTTTCGCCCCATAGGACGCACCGGCCCATAGGACGCATCAAGTTTTTTTGGGGGGAAATACAGGGGAAAAAATTTATTCCCCCCAGGCGCTTGTGGGGCCGGCAGCGGGGAGAAGCGCTCTTCTCCCCGCCGCCCGCCTTCAGACCAGGTCCGGGGACAGCGGGAAGACACGCTGCGCCTCCCAGCTGTCCCCAGAGCTTGTGGGGCAGGCGGCGGGGAGAAGCGCTCTTTTCCCCGCCGCCCGCCTTCAGATCAGGTCCGGGGACAGTGGGAAGATGCGCTGCGCCTCCCCACTGTCTCCGGAGCTTGCGGGGCTGGCGGCGGGGTCTCCCTGCCCCGTCAGCCTCCAAACCACTTCGGGGGACAGCGGGATGGCGGCGTTCCACCTCCCTCTGTCCCCCGACCTTGTGGGGCTGGCGCTGGGGCTCTCCTGAAGCCTGGAGAGCGAGAGGGGTCGGTGCGCACCGACCCCTCTCGCTCTCCAGGCTTCAGCGAAAGCCTGCATTCGCCCCATAGGACGCACACACATTTCCCCTTCATTTTTGGAGGGGGGAAAGTGCGTCCTATAGGGCGAAAAATACGGTAGTTAATATATTCCCTCACCTACCGAATAAAAGCCATAAACGAATGCAGGAAGAGTCTAATGGGAAGGCAACAAACAGCTGAGCTGGCCCTGTCAATCACACCCAGGCATCCTGCTATGAGGTCCTCAGCGGGAGGTAAAAACGAAATAAATACATCTGATTTAAATGAGTTTTTGGGGTGGCAGGGTTGTCTGCAAAAATAAAGCAAGCAAGCAAACATGCAAAGTCTCATTCTGAATTTCAAATCTCATTTCAGGACGAATCATTGATGTCATTATGGGATGGGACCTTGCCTCTCCAGCAAGTGCCGGGATATTAAGGCAGGGGGCGGGGAGTGAGGAATACTCACCGGCTCCTTCTCTGAAGGACTTGGTGCAGTAACCCTCTATCCACTGGTAACAGGGGAAGCGATAGACCTCACCGTGCGGAGATGTCACCTCGACTGCATTGCAGTACCAGCTGTTCTCAGGGAAGAAGGAGTAAGGTTCCTTGTGCAGGTGGATCAGCAGGATCGGGCCCAGGTCGTGGTCACAAAAGACTTCATGCTCCTCCACCTGTTGAGGAAGGAAGGAAGGAAGGAAGGAAGGAAGGAAGGAAGGAGGGAGGGAGGGAGGGAGGGAGGGAGGGGAGGGAAGGGAAGGGAAGGGAGGAAGGGAGGAAGGGAGGAAGGAAGGATTATTTCAGTTCTGCTCCAAACTTGGGATGGATTCTGCCACAAAATGTGATTGCAAAACAACTCACACCAAACGCCAAGTTGCAGCACTAACGGACAGGCTGCGATTGCAAATAACAGGCTGATTGCAACTGCAAATTGGTTGGCCACTGTGAGAACAGGATAGTAATAATAAATAACAAACAACATAAACAACAACAATAATATCCCAACAGAATATTAAGAACACTATAAAACATCAAACATTAAAAACTAAACAGGGCTGCCTTCAGATGTCTTCTAAAAGTCAGGTAGTTGTTTATTTCCTTGACATCTGTTGGGAGGGCGTTCCACAGGGCAGGCGCCACCACCGAGAAGGCCCTCTGCCTGGTTCCCTGCAACCTCACTTCTCGTAGGGAGGGAACCGCCAGAAGACCCTCGGAGCTGGACCCCAGTGTCCGGGCAGAACGTTGGGGGTGGAGAGTCATCGGGTCCAAGCTCCTGCAATGCAGGAATTGCAACTAAATAACTTGTACGCCCACAGCATAAGACGCCCTGAGGGCTAGAAATTTTTGGGTGGAAAGCTATGAAAATGCAACCTCCGTATACGTTTTCTCCAAAGCGAGGAACGTGCAGCCGGCTCCCCGCTGCTTACGCTGCTTCCACACAACGCAGAACGCTTAGGGTGACACACTCTTTAATTCCTTTTTTAAACGGAGTCTTGCATAACCAAAACAAAATAAACAGTAATAAAAGATCTACTTAGCGTCGGCAATACCAAGCAGGGCATGTAATGATGTAATTGTAAACTGCTAGAGCATTTGCAAAGCAAAGCAGGGCTTCAAATTGAATTGGGGGGGGGCATTTTGTGTTGAGATTCCTGCGTCACAGCGGGTTGGACTAGATGACCCCAAGGTCCCTTCCAACAATTCTAGGATTCTAAGAGTTATGGCACCTGAATCCTAAATCATGGCACCCATTTTTCTCTAGGCAACACAGGGATAAATTATTGTGTGTCCAAATCTAAAACGTAAGAGATTACAGTCCTGCCACACTCAATAAAAATGTTCAAGGTTCCCCTGAGACCAGTAACTTAGAAGCCCCCCCCCCCATACCAACAAAGGCCACAAGTTCTTATACCACACGGAAATGTTCAAGTTTTGTACTGTTTTCCACTGTTGGGCAGTGGAAATCCTGTCAGCCGCCAGCTTCCATGTTCCTTGGAACAGTTTTGGGGTCAACATGGCTGGTTGGGGTCAACATTCCTGGCTGGTGTCCTTGTTTTTTGTCCAAGGGAGCCCTCAGATTCCTCCGTTAACAATATAAAACAGATCCCTGTGTGCCTTTGTTGTTGTTGTTGAGTCGTTTAGTCGTGTCCGACTCTTCGTGACCCCCTGGACCAGAGCACGCCAGGCACTCCTATCTTCCACTGCCTCCCGCAGTTGGGTCAAACTCATGCTGGTAGCTTCGAGAACACTGTCCCACCATCTCATCCTCCGTGGTCCCCGTCTCCTTGCGCCCTCCATCTTTCCCAACATCAGGGTCTTTTCCAGGAGAGCAGAAAAATAGGGGAGTGGATAAGGAAGCCTAACAAAGCCCTGACAACAACAACACACTTTTGGGGGCAGTGGGAGCTGTTTTGCTGCTGCCCTGAGTCTGCCCATTGGCTAACCCAGCACCGGCGTCCTTCGCAATCCTAGTCCAGGACAGGCCTTGCCGCGCGGCCATGAGTCAACTTGGAGTTGCTGCTGAGGATTCGCTTTTGCTTGACAGTAGCCGTAAAGCGACGCCTTCCCGTCACGTTCCTTCAGATTCCAGGCCAGACTGTACTTGCCACTGGAATGGCACGTGGGTTGAAGCACATGAGAGAGAGAGAGAAACTCCAGTGTGCTGGCTCCCGGCTGCCCATCACGGAAGCAGGTGACAGGGTGGATCGATAAAGACAACTGAACAATGAGAGGCGCCACTATTGTTTTTTAACAGGGCTCCTCTGCCAATCAGGCTGGAATTCAACAGGCCCTGCATTCCCAGAATGGATCAATTCACCTCTTTAATTTCTTCCTGTTGCGAGGCAGTGTGGTTTGTGGGTGTGTGTGACAAAATGGGCCTTCCTGAGGTTGATTACAATCCAGACGTGGGTGGCGCTGCGGTCTAAACCACTGAGCCTCTTGGGCTTGCCGATTGGAAGGTCGGCGGTTTGAATCCCTGCGATGGGGTTAGCTCCCGTTGCTCTGTCCCAGCTCCTGCCAACCTAGCGGTTCGAAAGCACGCCAGTGCAAGTAGATAAATAGGTACCACTGTGGCAGGAAGGTAAATGGCTCTTTTGGATTTTTTTTTTTAAAAATTAAGTTAGTTTTTGGTTTGATTTTATATGTTGTGGTCTTGTTTGTGAACCGCCCTGAGACCTCTGGGTATAGGGCGGGGTATAAATTGAATAAATAATAATAAAAAATAATCCGTCACTTAAAGCGCATCCCACACAGCCCAGCCCACAAAAAAGGAATTTCACACGCAGAGGTACAGTTCCCAGCAATTAACAATCTACGGTTCCCAGAATCCTTTGCGGGGGACTCATGTGCGTTAAATTTACCTTGACCTTGTGATTACGGTGGAACATCTCAAGAGTAGTATACCAAATGTTTTGGAGAAGGTCCAGGGATTTGGCCAGGTAGCAGCTTATAAGCTATATAAAAACAAAACTAAAGTTTTGGTGAAAAATGTGACAGAACAATATAAGAAGGACTTACAACAAACTATGGGCATATGTATAGAGAAAAAAAGTCAAATATTTAGGTGTTTGGTTGACAGCTAAGAATATTAATATTTTTAAAGATAACTACATAGAGATAAAGAGAAACTTAGAGATTTGGGGAAGGATGAACCTATCATTATGGGGAAGAATATCAGTTATAAAAATGAATGTATTGCCGAGAATGTTATTATTCCAATCAATACCTGTGGTCAGCGGCGCTGGCGCTTCCAAGAATGTCAAAAAGATATTACAAGATTTATCTGGCAGGGGAAGAAACCAAGAATAAAATATAAATTGTTAACAGGTGCTAAAGAAAGAGGGGGCTTCGCCTTGCCAGATTTAAAACTATATTATGAGGTGTCTTGTCTCTGCTGGCTCCAGGAATGGATATTATTGGAAAATGTAGATGTTTTAGATTTGGAAAGACATGATAATAGATTTGGATGGCATGCATACCTATGGTATGAAAAAGCAAAAGCACATAAAGGTTTTCAGAATAACCTAGAAAGGAAATCAATTTCCTTTACTAGAACAGAAAACACCATGGTGGCTTTCCCCAATTGAAGCAATATCTCTGAAAAAAGTAAAGATGAGAAATGAATGGGTGACTTATATAGAGCTGTTAACTGAAGTAAAACATCAGGTGAAACTGAAGGATTTTGGAGAGATAAGGCATTTATTAACTGATTGGTTACAGTATCACCAATTAAATGAGACTTTTAAGACAGATACAAAGAAAGGATTCAGTTGTGAAGCCTCAAGATTAGAAAAAGATGTTAGAAAATAATGTAAAATTCCTGTTGAAAATGTATACATTAATTTTAGAATGGCACACAAAGGATGAACAGGTTAAATCAGTAATGATACATTGCGCGAGAGATTTGGGACATAATATTCAATTAACCGCTTGGGAAAAGTTATGGAAAACACATTTACAAATTTTGGTGTGTTGTACCTTGAAAGAAATCTATATGAAAATGATGTATAGATGGTATCTGAGTTCTACTAAATTAGCAAAAATGCACAGGACAAGTACAAATATTTGTTGGAAATGTAAAGAACAAGAAGGCAACTTTCATCATATGTGGTGGGCGTGTAATAAAAACCTTCTGGGAAATGATGTATAATGAAATGGGGGGGAAATGTTTAAAATAGATTTATAATTAAACCTGAAGCTTTTTTTAAAGGGATTCTACTTTTCATGCATGCAACGACGACTGCATGGATGCTTTTAGTCCCAAAAATAGAAAGAACATAGAAATCCCCATATAAGAGATGAAGGTCAAATCAAGTTGCTGGAATACACCAAAATGGCAAAAAAGACTGGAAAGCTCAGAAACCAAGAGGACAAAAGTTTCAAAAAAGAATGGGAAAGATTTGCAATGTATTTGAGAGACCACTGCAAACAAATGAAAACAATGGCAGGCTTTGAATAACACTTGCAGGGATGCGGGTGGCGCTGTGGTCTAAACCACTGAGCCTCTTGGGCTTGCTGATCGGAAGGTTGGTGGTTCGAATCCCTGCGACGGCGTGAGCTCCCGTTGCTCGGTCCCTGCTCCTGCCAACCTAGCAGTTCAAGAGCACACCAGTGCAAGTAGATAAATAGGTACAGCTGCGGCGGGAAGGTAAACAGCATTCCTGTGCACTCTGGTTTCCATCACGATGTCCCATTGTGCCAGAAGCATTTAGTCCTGCTGGCCATGTGACCCGGAAAGCTGTCTGTGGACAAACACCAGCTCCCTCGGCCTGAAAGCGAGATGAGTGCCGCAACCCCATAGTCGTCGTTGACTGGACTTAACCGTCCGGGGGTCCTTTACCTTTAACTTTTATAATGTAACAAAAACTTTGGACAATACAGACAGATTTAAAATATAGAGGATGAAATAATACGCCATTGAAAACGATGACAGTAGGGTCCATGGAGGGGATGGAGAAAAGCCGGGAGACTCAGGGGAATCTCAAAAATTTGAGTATACTATTGTTTTCATTTGATATCTATAAAACCAAATAATATATATATATATATATATATATATATATATATATATATATATAAAATAATAATAATTTATTATTTGTACCCCACCCATCTGGCTGGGTTTCCCCAGCCACTCTGGGCGGCTTCCATAGAAACCCAAGATATAGTAAAA